TCTGTCTTCCGGAAACCTGTTCTTTTATTTTCACTCCCAGTAACTCCCCCACTTACATCTTAGTGACCTTATCACCTTGTGTTATGGTAATTTACCCACACACGCATGGACTCTCCCAGCTATAAATAGGAGCAGGTACTGCCTTTTGGAGAGGGAAGTTTCCAGCAGTCAGCTCTGACAGTCGGACCGAGCATTCTTGTGGTAACACTCTCGTTTGTATAATGTTTGTATTACTGTTTCTGTTAATATATTCGTTTAACTCAATTCCTCTCTTTGTGTCTTTATTTCTGGCCCTAACAAGGCCACAACAATTGGAAAGGGATTTTATTATGGAAATGCATTGGAAAGTGATTTTACTATGAAAATGCACTGGAAAGGGATTTTATTATGAAAATGCATTGGAAAGGGATTTTATTATGGAAATGCATTGGAAAGTGATTTTACTATGAAAATACATTGGAAAGGGATTTTATTATGAAAATGCATTGGAAAGTGATTTTATTATGAAAATGCATGGGAAAGGGATTATACTATGAAAATGCATTGGAAAGGGATTCTATTATGAAAATGCATCGGAAAGGGATTTTACTATGAAAATGTAGTGGGAAGAGATTTTATTATGAAAATACATTGGAAAAGTATTTTGCTATGAAAATGCATTGGAAAGTGATTTTACTATGAAAATGCATTGGAAAGTGATTTTATTATGAAAATGCATTGGAAAGGGATTCTATTATGAAAATGCATTGGAAAGTGATTTTACTATGAAAATGCATTGGAAAGAGATTTTATTATGAAAATACATTGGAAAAGTATTTTGCTATGAAAATGCATTGGAAAGTGATTTTACTATGAAAATGCATTGGAAAGTGATTTTATCATGAAAATGCATTGGAAAGTGATTTTATTATGGAAATGCATTGGAAAGTGATTTTACTATGAAAATGCACTGGAAAGTGATTTTATTATGGAAATGCATTGGAAAGTGATTTTACTATGAAAATGCACTGGAAAGGGATTTTATTATGAAAATGCATTGGGAAGTGATTTTATTATGAAAATGCATTGGAAAGAGATTTTATTATGAAAATGCATTGGAAAGGGATTTTACTATGAAAATGTAGTGGGAAGAGATTTTATTATGAAAATGCATTGGAAAAGTATTTTGCTATGAAAATGCATTGGAAAGTGATTTTATTATGAAAATGCATTGGAAAGGGATTTTATTATGAAAATGCGTTGGAAAGAGATTTTATTATGAAAATGAATTGGAAAGTGATTTTGCTATGAAAATGCATTAAAAAAAAAGTTTTACTATGAAAATGCATTGGAAAAAGATTTTATTATGAAAATGCATTGGAAAGGGATTTTACTATGAAAATGCATTGGAAAGGGATTTTACTATGAAAATGCATTGGAAAGGGATTTTACTATGAAAATGCATTGGAAAGGGATTTTACTATGAAAATGCATTGGAAAGGGATTTTACTATGAAAATGCATTGGAAAGGGATTTTACTATGAAAATGCATTGGAAAGGGATTTTACTATGAAAATGTATTGGAAAGGGATTTTATTATGAAAATGCATTGGGAAGTGATTTTATTATGAAAATGCATTGGAAAGGGATTTTACTATGAAAATGTAGTGGGAAGAGATTTTATTATGAAAATGCATGGGAAAGGGATTATACTATGAAAATGTAGTGGGAAGAGATTTTATTATGAAAATGCATTGGAAAAGTATTTTGCTATGAAAATGCATTGGAAAGGGATTTTATTATGAAAATGCGTTGGAAAGAGATTTTATTATGAAAATGAATTGGAAAGGGATTTTGCTATGAAAATACATTGGAAAGGGATTTTATTATGAAAATGCATTGGAAAGGGATTTTATTATGAAAATGCATTGGAAAGTGATTTTATTATGAAAATGCATGGGAAAGGGATTATATTATGAAAATGCATTGGAAAGGGATTATACTATGAAAATGCATTGGAAAGGGATTCTATTATGAAAATGCATCGGAAAGGGATTTTACTATGAAAATGTAGTGGGAAGAGATTTTATTATGAAAATACATTGGAAAAGTATTTTGCTATGAAAATGCATTGGAAAGTGATTTTACTTTTTAAATGGATTGGAAAGTGATTTTATCATGAAAATGCATTGGAAAGTGATTTTATTATGGAAATGCATTGGAAAGTGATTTTACTATGAAAATGCACTGGAAAGGGATTTTATTATGAAAATGCATCGGAAAGGGATTTTACTATGAAAATGTAGTGGGAAGAGATTTTACTATGAAAATGTAGTGGGAAGAGATTTTATTTTGAAAATGCATTGGAAAGGGATTTTATTATGAAAATGCATTGGAAAGGGATTTTATTATGAAAATGCATTGGAAAGGGATTTTATTATGAAAATGCATTGGGAAGTGATTTTATTATGAAAATGCATTGGAAAGAGATTTTATTATGAAAATGCATTGGAAAGGGATTTTACTATGAAAATGTAGTGGGAAGAGATTTTATTATGAAAATGCATTGGAAAAGTATTTTGCTATGAAAATGCATTGGAAAGGGATTTTATTATGAAAATGCGTTGGAAAGAGATTTTATTATGAAAATGAATTGGAAAGTGATTTTGCTATGAAAATGCATTAAAAAAAAGTTTTACTATGAAAATGCATTGGAAAAAGATTTTATTATGAAAATGCATTGGAAAGGGATTTTATTATGAAAATGCATTGGAAAGGGATTTTACTATGAAAATGCATTGGAAAGGGATTTTACTATGAAAATGCATTGGAAAGGGATTTTACTATGAAAATGCATTGGAAAGGGATTTTACTATGAAAATGCATTGGAAAGGGATTTTACTATGAAAATGCATTGGAAAGGGATTTTATTATGAAAATGTATTGGAAAGGGATTTTATTATGAAAATGCATTGTTGTTATGGTAATTTACCCATGCATGCATGGACTCTCCCAGCTATAAATAGGAGCAGGTACTGCTTTTTGGAGAGGGAAGTTTCCAGAAGTCAGCTCTGACAGTCGGACCGAACATTCTTGCTGTAACACTTTCGTTTGTATAATGTTTGTATTACTGTTTCTGTTAATATATTTGTTTAACTCAATTCCTCTCTTTATTTCAAGGCCACAACACCTTGTTTGGGTTGAAATGATTAGAAAAAAAAGTAAGCCAATCCAGGATGGAGAGGAGAGCTAAGGCAACAGAGATATGGTTCTACAGAAGGATGCTGAGAATACTATGGTCAGAACAAAAATGTTTTATAGGAAATGGAAACAAAAACGAGAGAGAGAATTTCTAGGATGCATAAGGAAAGAAGGACTGGAAAAACTGACACTCACAAGACATTACAGGCAAGAGGAGAAAAAAATCAAGAAACCTACCTGACAAGCTTGTGTAAATGGATGACACAACGGACTAGGTGGGATACATTGCTAAGACCTATAAAAGATAGGAAGGTATGGAGAGCTATGATCACTCACTTTTAGGTGGGAAATGACACAGAAAATTACATCAAGTTCATCTTGATGTGACAAGTTTTGAGACGGAGTTTTGTTACTATTATAAATTGATTTTTTTGTGAGTTTCCTTGTCTTCTGTTTTCATCACAAGCTTTCGGTTGTCCTATCTTAATTAAGCTAAGAGATTTAGTTTTAATGACTCATTGTAAAACAGTAACAGCGCGTGTACCTCAAGAATTCACTCAGCAAATGAAATCTTTTGCAATAAATTATATCACAGAAATCAATCTTAGTTTATATAAAGGTTTTAAAAATGTTTCAGTCATAAAGATAGGGAAACACAAGTAAAATGTGAAAGTAAATGCAATTTAATTAGCTCTGATCTGGCATCTCGTTTACAGTTACTCTCTCACAGACGTACCGTCGCCTTCCTCTGTCTTTTCTACAAATACTTTCATGGTAACTGCCCCGAGAGCTACTTTGGCTGCTTCCCAAACTGCATGAATTTAAACGTGCTACTAGGTTGGCATCTTGGTCCCACCCTTTCACTGTCAAAACGGTTAAATGTAGCCGTCTCTTCTACTCCAATAGCTTCATGTCTTGCACTTCCCATCTGTAGAACTCCCTTCCTCTTACTTGCTTCCCTGATAGCTATAATCTAACTGTTCAAATGCAATGATCCAGATACCTTGATCTAATTCTCCGTCGTTCTCTTCATCCTTTCCCCTATCACGCCTCTTTACCCTTGCTCCGACTCTCTGTAATCCCTTGTGTGCTAGTGGCACCCCTGCCTTGCATGGGGTGAAATGCTTTAAAAAAAAAAATATGAATATAGACATTTATCAAATGCAACAAAAAACAAATGATTAGCCTAAAAACTCATAAGGAGTGCAAGAGAAAAGCGATAATAACAAAAATTGCAATATGAGCTCTGGTAAAAAAAATGAATGCTGATGACATTAGGTTTATAATACCCAGAAATTCATACACTGGACACATGGCACATTGGATAAAGTGAGATCCAGTGACAGGACCCAAAGAGTGAGTTCAATACCCGGTTAAGGCAGTGGAGAACTTTCAGAGGGAAATTAACAGGAGATAACTGATAACTGACATCCATTAATCATGGCGCGTGAAACTAGAACAGTCTATCCCAATGAGCGAAATAAAGGGTTCAGTTTGACATTCCAACCACCTGAAGAAGGCCGTAGTGTACAACGGCCGAAAACGTCGTAATAAATATGGCGACAAAGATGAGGACAATAGTCCGAATAATGTAAATACTGGACATAATACCTCATCTCAGAAATATAGACTCCTGTTTTTACATCATATGAATGTTATGCATGGCACCAAACTCGTTCAGGAGTGATGGATTCATGCCTTTCCCAAGAGTACATGTGCGTAAGTGAATATAACAACCCGAAGAGAATTGGAACTCGGATTTACATCTGCGATTAACAATTTCACGCCATTATCCATTGCACCACCTGCACATCTAAGTTTACTGCACCTGGTATTCCCAAGCAGTTACCTATCTAGGTACTGACCAAGCTCAACGTTGCTTAACTTCAGTGTTTGTACAGGAACTGGTGCTTCAACGTGATGCAGCTGTAAGCCCAAGTATGGCAGCAGGAGTTAGATATTTTCTGGAGTGATACAAGGGATCAACCATTCTTCCTGCATTTTTAGCAATGATACAATTGTATGAGTTCCATTTTAGTGAGCTTTAATGCTAACTGACATTTGAGTCAAGAGCCTCATTGGGAGCATGACCGTTCATCAGGATGGGTGAAATGTTAGCATCTACTCGGCCACGATGAAATGTTACAATCTTTGTTTTGGAGATACTGAACACTACAAGCCAGTCTTTCCCCCCGACATTTGTAGAATCAATGTGATACTCATCTTCGCAGGAAGGTTCCAAAATAGCGTCCAGTTGGCAGACAGGGGTGAGCAAGTTGTAATTCAACAGCTCTGTACTCAAGCAAGCATAATGGGGAATGAAGGCTATTTATCTATCACAATAGCGACACGAGAACTAGCAGCAAACCAGAACTCAGAGAATGGGATTGCCTAAGTGGCAGAATAGAATGTTTACTTGTTACATATACCAGCTGTTCTAACCTCTGGGTACCGGAGAGCTTACAATACAGCAGAGCACTAATCTGTTTATTCAATACTAATAATGAGGTCAGGTAGTGACCAACGGGTCCTCAAGAGAGGGTTACAAGATGTCCTATTTGTAAGACATGCTGGGACCAAAAGAAAATAAAACCCTTTTCTTATATACTGCTTTTGGCAATGCTACCTCACATTTAGTAGAAGTTCCTTGGCAGACAATTAGGGTAAACCCTTGGCCCACCTTCAGTTGGGTTTGCAGGTGAAGGTAACAAGGAAAATGGAAAATAGAAAAAAATTAATTGAAGGAAACTAAAGAATAGACAATATTTCTTTTTCTGGTAGATTAAGGGTGCAATTGAAAGAAAAAAATATAAATATTTCTTGGCTTATCGATTAGCAACTTTTTGAATGTCACTAAGTGTGGAGGGTTCGATAAAAAGGAAACAATCAATGCAAGCACAAATATTTTCTCAGTATTGATTATTTTCAGTGTTTTGTTATGTAGGCAAAAAGATCAATACCATTCGCAGATGTTAATATTTCTTTCCGTCGTATTAATACCTTTATATAAATTCTCTTTTTGGCAAATTAGTTTTTTTTACATATTTTATACATTTTTGAGAATTAAACTGATGCAAAAAAAATGTCAGCTTCGGAAAAGTACCATCATCAACAAAAAAAAAGAAAAAAATATGTGTAGTTAAAATTTAAAAACCAATGTTCACTTAATACAAGGCTCAAGAGCCATTAAAGGCAGAGCACTAAATGAACTATGCCAAATAAATGTAACAGAATATAAAAGGAAGTGAATAAAATGAAGATTACATAAGTCATCGGACTCTCGAGCTTCACATATTAGATAAGTCATCGGACTCTCGAGCTTCACATATTAGATAAGTCATCGGACTCTCGAGCTTCACATATTAGATAAGTCATCGGACTCGAGCTTCACATATTAGATAAGTCATCGGACTCTCGAGCTTCACATATTAGATAAGTCATCGGACTCTCGAGCTTCACATATTAGATAAGTCATCGGACTCTCGAAGCTTCACATATTAGATAAGTCATCGGACTCTCGAGCTTCACATATTAGATAAGTCATCGGACTCTCGAGCTTCACATATTAGATAAGTCATCGGACTCTCGAGCTTCACATATTAGATAAGTCATCGGACTCTCGAGCTTCACATATTAGATAAGTCATCGGACTCTCGAGCTTCACATATTAGATAAGTCATCGGACTAAGGCTTCACATATTAGATAAGTCATTCGACATATTAGATAAGTCATCGGCTTCACATATTAGATAAGTCATCGGACTCTCGAGCTTCACATATTAGATAAGTCGCCAGGGAGGCTTCACATATTAGATAAGTCATCGGACTCTCGAGCTTCACATATTAGATAAGTCATCGGACTCTCGAAGCTTCACATATTAGATAAGTCATCGGACTCTCGGACATATTAGATAAGTCATCGGACTCTCGACTTCACATATTAGATAAGTCATCGGACTCTCAGGCTTCATATTAGATAAGTCGCCGGACTCTCGAGCTTCACATATTAGATAAGTCATCGGACTCTCGAGCTTCACATATTAGATAAGTCATCGGACTCGAGCTTCACATATTAGATAAGTCATCGGACTCTCGAGCTTCACATATTAGATAAGTCATCGGACTCTCGAGCTTCACATATTAGATAAGTCATCGGACTCTCGAGCTTCACATATTAGATAAGTCATCGGACTCGAGCTTCACATATTAGATAAGTCATCGGACTCTCGAGCTTCACATATTAGATAAGTCATCGGACTCTCGAGCTTCACATATTAGATAAGTCATCGGACTCTCGAGCTTCACATATTAGATAAGTCATCGGACTCTCGAGGTTGAGATCGAGTTAGAGATATTAGATAGTGATTGGCCTTTTGAGCTTGAGATTGTAGTATTCAGGAAAGCACCAACATGGGAGTTTGTTCCAAGGCCTCATTTCTCAGAAAAAAAAAACCGTCAGTGGGATTTCCTCCTTACAAATGGAATATGGAAGTAATATGGGTGATTCAACTCTGTGGACATAACATGGTGAGTCGTAGCTGTAAAAGTTTGAACTGGCAGAAATCTTCAACATTTGCCATAAAAATAGTAATAGTGTACCGAGAGTATCTGAGGATAAGAGGCTGTAGAGTGGAAAAGAAATCCTCCAAAAAATGCAGGAATGATTTTGAACTATCAAAGATGGAAAGTGAGGATGGATCTGTTAAAGACTGACTTCCTAAATCTCTACCATTACTGTTAATATAGGCGTGTATGCTGGCTGTGTTTACGTACAAAAACTAGCGTCTCCCGGTATATTTATCCCACAACAAAAATTGCGGACTCTGTATGTGAGTCCGGGTAATAAAATGTGAAGGCACCGACAAAAATGCATATAGAAATAAACGATAATTATTTATTAACCAAACAAGGGTATACAGACAATAGAATATTGTTTTTGGTTACAAAACAATGACCATGACTGAAGAATACATTTAAAGACTAAAGAATGTGTTTGTGTGTGTATAGTTTGGTGTAGGATAAAGTCTGAGAAAATGAAGTGAAGGTACGTACCCGTACGTGTGTGCGTTCCCCAGTGGGAAACACATTCTCTATGTTCGTCCTATATCTTAGGTGCGTAAGAGGAAAATAGGAAAAAGAGCATGATAGAATGTTAAACGGGAATTAGGAAAAAAACCCAAAAGCTCCTTGCGAACCTGAAACGAACACAAGACCGACCGCAACGGTTTTTGTCACCCCCCCCCAAAAAAAAAACGCCAAACGACTCGCGCGTCTTCTTGTAGTCCTCGGTCGAGTCCATTATGGTACTCCAAAGTGTGCCCGGCGAAAACACACACGCAGTTCGAGGACGCTTCCGCGCATGCTCGTTACATTCATAGGCTTGAGGAGCGTTTCTAGCAGTGTTTTTTTTTAGGGAAGTAAGTGGGGTAACTCCAACCGTGTAACCAGAAATTCTCAAATGTCAAGCTTTGTTATCACTTGACTCCAAAAGCTTTCTTTCATTTATTTGTTCCCGCAGGTGTTCCCCAAGGCTCTATCCTGGGCCCTACACTTGCAGACGACACTATTTACTACTGCCTCAAAAGTAAATCTGGTATCACTGACAAAGCTGACCTGGTCATTTGTCTCGAAAAGAACCTCCAATCGGTTGTGGATTGGTGCAGGAAGTGGCTGGTTAACTTTAATGCCTCAAAAACAAAACTACTCTCTATAACTCACCACAGGGAACCATCCCTGCATTCCATTAGAATGTCTGATGATCAACTCCATGTGAGAATATCTTTACGGTTGTTTGGTCTCACACTGTTCCCTGACCTGAGATGGAACAAATACATTGAATCAATAGCTTCATCCACCGCAAGGAAAGTTGGTTCCCTGTGTCGCGCCAAAAAGTTTTTCTCGCCTGAGTCCATCCTTCAAATCTATAAATCAACCATTCGCCCTTGCATGGATTACTGCTGCCATATATGGTTAGGTGTCCTCGCTGTTCGTCTTAAGGTCATCGACAAAATCCAGAGACGGATGTGCAATGCAACTGGCCCTGATCTGACATCTCGTCTACAGTCGATCTCACTGACATGTCCTCGCCTCCCTCTGTCTTTTCTACAAATACTTTCACGGTAACTGCTCCGACGAGCTACTTTCACTAGTTCATAGACTGCATGGATTTAAACCTGCAACTAGGCTGGCATCTCGATCCCACCCTTTCACTGTTGAAATTGTTAAATGTGGCTGTCTCTTCTGCTTTAATAGATTCATGTCTCGCACCTCTCGACTGTGGAATTCCCTTCCTATTACTTGTTTCCCTGACAGCTATAATCTCCAACTATCCAAATGTAATGTCAGTCGACATCTCCAGATGTTTTACATATATATATATATATAAAATGAATAAAGACAACTGCATCCCGGATTTTCTAAAATATATCCATTCTTACTCTTATCCCTAGCCAACATCCATGACTATAAAAATATTTAAAAAATTAAAAAGAAAACGGTTAAATTCATAACCTCCTGTTAATTAATATAGAAAATAAATAAATTTATCCCATACCAAAATAATTTAATTATTAATTCCATAAAGAAATATTCAACATCATTTACTCACTTTCGTTTACATCACTTAGCGTCCTCCATAATTTAGCTAGACATTAAATTATATCACTTAGCGTGTTCCACATTTTAGTTAACCTGATGAGCGTATCTTAAACTTAAAAAAAAAATAAATAAAAATAGGTTTTTCCTTTAGTCTTTATTCATATTGTTATATATATATATATATATATATATATATATACACACACATATATATATATATATATATATATAATTTTTTTCTTGGTGGCTGTAGAAAATTGATTAAGAAAATTTTTTAAAAAATTCTTTCAAATAATTTATTATTTTCTTGTCTATTTTAGT